TTTTTAGCTTGACGTGATCCCATTTGCCCAATTTTGCTTTGGTTGCCTATACTTTGGGAGTATTACTCAAGAACTCCTTCAGTCCTACTTTTTCTGTGCAGTTTACTTATCCTGTCCTGGAAACTTTGTGGTTAAAACAGTTTATACTGTTTAGAGTGCCATTGTTGTTTCTTTTCAGAGAGATGTTCATTTGGGGAGTTTTTAGTAACTAGAATAATCATTACTACCTAATTTTTAAGAAGGACAGAAAGAATTACTTCATTTATCAGACCAGTAATTTCATTTCATGAGTCAGAAAGGCTTTGTTTAATAATTTTAAAGGTGTTATAAGATGCATCCTTTTAAAATTTAAACAGATTAAGCCAATAATATATATTCTTTGTAAAAAATTCAGATAACTGCCTACCTTGAATGCAAGAAAGCCCATAAGCAAAAGAGTGACAGAATCTTTTTTCCTCTTGTGAAGATATCCATAATCCTCCCATCCAGAGCAAATCAGTGTTACAGTTTAGTATGTGCACTTCTGCAATTTTTTTTCTAAGTGTATATGTTAATATATATTTATATATATATTAATATGTGTATATATTCCTTACAAAAATAGGATCATATTCTATCGTTTTATAAACTTCTTTAGAATGAATTCTTTGTTAAGCTTTATTGAGATATAATTCACATATCCTACATTTAAATTGTAAAATTTAGTGTTTTTTAGGTATCTTTACAGAGTTGTGCAATCATCATCATAATCAATTTTAGAACATTTTTTATTACCACGAGAAGAAAACCCTGTACTTATTAGCAGTCACTCCCATTTTGCCCCAACCACGGGCAACCACCTGTCTATTTTCTGTCTTATAGATTTGCCTAGACATTTCATATAAATAAATAGATGAAATGTTTAGAATAGGCAAATTCTAACAATATGTGGTCTTTTGTGTCTGGTGTCTTTTACTTATTATAATGTATTTGAGGTTGTCTGTTTAGAGACAGAGGATGTAGAAGAAAATGGTATTTATTTGGGAATGGACATTGCAATGGCAATACAAGAGCCATAGTGAACTGTATGTGTATGCAGGGTAGAAAAGGAAGACTAAGGTTTTTAAAGGAAAAGTGAAGAGGATTACAGGCCTTCATGGCCTTCCCTGGCTCTCTTTGTCAGCGGTTTTTAACACAGTTGACTCCATTTTGATTCTGACAGCTTTCACAAGGTTCACCCATGTTGTAGCATGTTATCAGTACTTCATTTTTTTTTGAGACAGAGTCTCACTCTTTTACCCGGGCTAGAGTGAGTGCCGTGGCATCAGCCTACCTCA